AATTGAAAGAAGAGAGAATATTTAATGTTGATTAAATCAAAAAATTTAATATAAAAATATTTTTAGTAATATTATTATAGTCGATAAAATATTTTAAGTTATTAACATAACCTCAAATTGTCAAAAATATCGTAACTTATCTAACTGAATATATTTATTTTAAAATAAATGTTAATCATTTTTTTTTCAACTAAAAAAATAATATTTACTTATAACCGATATATTTTTGCCAACCCAATTTGTGTGTGAGCTGTGCTACTTTTTTTGAATTTCTAATTACATTCCTTTTATCTGACGAAGTTTTGCAAATTTTCTGCTTTGCTTGAATTCATTTCATTTATAATTAAAACTGTCCAATACATATAAACTATTTAACAATATCTATAACACGTGGAGAATATCACAAATAAATACGCATCCACTGCGCATCTTTGATGCGCAATTAGGGATCATGGACTTGTGCTGTTTCTGCAATAAACAAAAATTTGATTTTTTTTTTTTTTTCAAAGACTCAGTAATTTATGTTAATATTTTACCAGATTGTAGAACTTTTATTTGAATTTATACACAAACTGCTTTAATTTTAATTATACATTTTTATTGATAAAACAAATTCAGTGTTGCCAATTACATGGAAATTTCCCGGAGTACGAGAAATTTTGACAGCATTGGGAAATTTTACGGGAAATGAATAAATTACGGGAAATACTCTAATAATGCAAAAATTTAATAGATTTTTAACTAAAACTCAAGTTTTCTAACAGAATATATTTTAAAAAAGTTTTAATGATTTATAAAACGATAATTACATTCAAAAATTAAAAATAAAATACATAAAAACTCAATAAAAATAGTAACAATAGCAATACAAATAATAATAATCTTTTATCAGAGCTTATATATTATATTATAATTCTAATAAATTACAATTATTTATATGGTGGGAAATTGCAAGGAAATTTAAGAAATTTTTCCGGGAGAAATCGGGAATTTTATATACTAGACTGACGGGAAGTTAAGGGCTCTCGCTCCGGCAACAATGAACAAATTTTATAAATTTTTTTGTTAAAGTGTTTAGAACCGTGTTTAATATTGATAAAAAATGTTCTTGAAAGTTTTTTCATAAATTTTTTTATTCAAAGTTAATATATTCTTGATATGCAGTTAAGTTTAAATGAAAAAAAAATTCTTTGGTTCATATAGTACATTATTTCCCACACAGCACCCAAAATTCCCTGAAACTTGACAGAACCTCACATGGCGAGATTAGGAAACTTTAGTGGCAAGGTTCATACAAGTTTGTGTCGATGTTTAAATGTCCACATGAGAAGAATATTTACACGAAACTTTGAGGAAATATTACACATAAATATTCATGTGCAATGTTCAGTCAATGTTGTGTCAATATTGAAATTACATTTTCGCCTAGTTATAAAAATTTCATTTAGGAATATAATAAGTATAGGTGAATATTGACACAACATTGACTGAACATTGCACGTGAATATTTATGTGTAATATTTCCTCAAAGTTTCGTGTGAATATTCTTTTCATGTGGACATTTAAACATTGACACAAACTTGTATGAACCTTGCCACTGAAGTTTCCTAACCTTGCCGTGTGAGGCTCTGTCAAGTTTCAGGAAATTTTGGGTACTGTGTGGGTTTATTTAAAGCATAATTTCACACTTTAGAACTTTGGAAAACATTAAAATGATAATTTTATGTTGCTTAAATTGTTTTTCTATTAAAAAAATTGTTGTTTAGTTACTTTTACAAAAAATTTTCTTAATTTTTTTTTATTTTTGAACTTTACAGTCTTTTACTAAAACAAGTAATTTGCAATGACGAGATTCATTATAAAACATGGATTTTTCATCTATATACTTTTTTTAGTAATCTATAGCAGTAATAACGAAATTTTTACTTTAAATATTAACTGAGTTATGTTCCAGTTTCTAGAGTCGTAGAAAGAAATTTAATTTTAATTTTTTCGATACCTCTCTGGGGAATTAAATACAATGGACAAACTAGGAATTCATAGGAATTGACAAAATTTCAAAACTTTTAATGCAAGCCTTCTTACTGGTTTGTATATTATATTTGCTCACTTTTAATAAAAATACTGTAAATTTAATACACATAGAATAAATTTTTACTTAAAATGATCTTATCTCCAAACGATGTATACGAAAATAATTTTTAGGTTAAGAATAATGTCCAAATCTTATTGACAACACATAATAATCAGTAGAACATCCGAATTGTGATACTTTGCAGGGAATGGTAGTTGTTTTCGATACAGGGTGGGGAACTAAAATGGAGAAAAGCAGGATGAGGCAGGTGTGAAAAATATAAAGATACGATATATTTCGGACATTCTACTGGATTTCCAATGAAAATTTTCCCCATTCTAAACTAATCGTTAAGTTTAAATCAAATAAATTTTCATGTAAACAAAGTATATATATATATATATTTTTTTTTTTAAATAAAACTGACAGATATTTTTCATAGAAAATAAAATTTTCCATTAAAATAAAACTTGCAAATTGTGTTAAATTAAAACAAAATCGTTCAAACAAATCTTTTCATAGAAATTAAGAATTCTTTATTCTAAGTGTACAATTCACATAAATATATAGAAAATTTATTTCCATGCAAAAGGTATTTTTACTTTTAAAATAATATATATGCTAGTTGAAGTTCGCAAGTAGAGAGCATAAAAAAAAGACAATGTTGCATAAGGAAGTCTTTCGGAAGAGAGCTCTTAACTTTTTATCTCGCTGAGTAAATAAAAACGCGTATTTATTTCATATGCATATATGTTTCTGAATATTTAAATGAACAAATTTTTTTTTCTTCTGATTTTTATATATCTATATATATATATAACGTCACTTAATTACTAGGTTAATAAGAATTTAATTGAAATATTATACGAGAATTTTATTTACGCATTTATAGTTCTATATAGTTTAAAATTTCATATAAGCTCTGGGAAAGTGATTTATTGTTATATATATACAATATTGTTTGCATAAGAAAAGCAACTATTTTTGATACTTTTCGCACAATCTCTTAAAGCAATATAATTATTTTTACGCTTTGTACAACTGAATATATATACACTGAAAGAAATTTCATAGGAAAAAATAACAAAATGCGTATTACATTTTAATATATTCTTTTAGAATTTAGGGAAAAGTGTACTTTTTATTAAAATTCAATATACTTTATATTAAAGTTCCAACTTAAAATCTTTTTTCAAATATTAATAATTATTGTAGAAAGAACGTAAAAAGATTACCAATATTTGAAAATATTATATTAAATTCTCATAGAGTTGTTGCATTATATGGAATGTAGCGTTCTAATATTTGTAAAACTTTATACGAAAAATTCAGAATGTCGGAAGAAAAGGGAAAAAAAGTGGAAACTCGGACGTTTCCGTTAATTCTCGGGAGGAAGAGGAGTGAGACTAGGAACAACACATTCACACTTACGATACAGGTTAACACACATACTAATGAACACGCACGTTCATTTCGCTTATACATAGACATTACACGATCGCAACGAAACCTACACTTACAATTCTATACGCATAACGATAAATTTCGCTGGGGGTCGGCATATATCGTTTTCTTATATACTAACTACTGAATATTTTTACCACTTGCGAGAAAGAAGTTTACTTATAATAACTTAATAATAAAAAATAGTTTACTAGTGCCAATGGTGTAATTTTATAGAGGTTACGCTGGGTTCATTTTTATTATTAATTGTTTATATAGATTTTTCTTTTTTTTCAGATTAAAAATTATGATTGTTATAAAAATTTTTATTGCAAATAAAAATCAAATAATTGTAAAGATGACATCAAAAAATAATAATTAATAAAAATAATAATAAATTTAATAATTATAAATGTTTTCTGTGGCACTATAAACATTTGAAACACGTGTGTTGACAGTTGATAGGTACGTTCTGCTGGTTAACAACACTTTCGAAAATCGGATCAAGTCGTAGAAGTTCGAGTAGGACACGAAGCCGCAAACAGACAGAACTTCGGTTAAATTCGTAGTCTCTCGGGAAAATCCGTGACTTTTAGTATAAAGTTTTACAAAATGTGAAATAAGTATACGGATATATGTTATTTTTCTTACTATTTTGTGAAATTATTTATTATAATATTTCGTATTCTGTGAATTCATAAAGAAAATACTAATTTTTAAAATAAATATACTAATTTTTATTTCTTAAAATAATAGTTACTCTTAAATTCATTATATATTTTCATAAAAACTGTAATAGTAATCAGTATAGGTGCACTTTTTCCCTAAATTGTAACATTTATATTAAACTCTAATATGAGTTTAATACTTAGTAGTATGAATTTTCTTTCAGTGTATTTAATTGTTATTTGATAAGAGTTTCTCCCAAAACTAAAAGCTAACAAGAGAAATTAATAATAATGTTTTCTCTTTTGAAATTTATATATATATATATTAAACGCAAAATTTAATTAGATTGTTTGTTCTCTAATTTGAGGATCTATTATATTTTAACAATAATATTTTCACTTTCTTTTTTAAAATAAAAGGAAACAATTATCACAGAGGTTTATGATATTAAAATGATGAAGAATTGTTATTTAATATATATTTACAATAAAAAATTATATTATTTATTATACAATTATTTATATATTACATAGAAATATGTAATTATTTTTATAAGAAATGTAAAAATATTTAAATCTAAAAATAATTATATGATTAAATTGTAATTTATAAGAAGTGATTTTATTAATTATTTTGACATTTAAAGGTTATATTAACCTCACTTTTTTGACATTATTCACTTTTTAGTAAATCAGCAGAATTTTTAATATATGTTCTAGATATTTGTTCGCAAAATATATTTATTTAAACAAATAATTTTTATTATATATTATTATGTATATATAAATAAACATAAACTTTTATTTCCTTTCAGAATATACTGACACGCACGCGTTACAGGTCAGGTTAGGCAAACATTCAACCGGCATCCCAGTGGAAAAACGTGCTCTCGACACTTACTTGCAATCTAGCGTTATGGCAACCGAATCAAATAGGGGAAACTTTTGATGTGCCCCGATCACAATCGCAGAGGATATTCACGACGAGGATTTTTCGAGTTTATTGCAAAGGGTGAGTCAGCAATGTGTTATTTTTAAAGATATGTAGCTGATTCTCCCGAAATATTTCTTTCCCTGATTTGGAAACAAAAAAAAAAGTAATATTGTAAACTAAAATAAATAAAATAAAAATATCTAATTACGAAATAATATAATAGACCCTAAAGAAAGCACGGACGTTGAAGAAAGGCCCCAATGCATAAAGCACGAAGTTGCGCGTAGCTGACTCGAAACCGACATAGCTTCGCGCAACCGAGAAAAATTTCCCCCGCCAGACCACAGTGGCCGATTTCCCGAAAAACCTGGCCAAAAGTCAAAAAATTTTTTTTAGAAATTTATACTTTTTATTGTTGAATATTATAAAGGAGGGTTCACTGCATAATTTTGCGAAAAAAAATTACACTTTTTTTACCACCAATTTATTATGTGAACAAGTAAAAGTGATCTTTGCCAGAGATTTACTCAGAACGTTTCATAACTATAAATTTTCGTCACAGTTAAAATAGTGAAAATATACAGCAGATTTTTGAATATCTTTTTTTGGGAATTATTAACAAAGGTGTATGAAATATGTTGAATGTATTTATAATCACATTTAAAACGTACAGTTTTTAAAAAATGACATTAAACATCGCTATTCATGGCGACGATTTTTGTATTGTTTTATCAACGTAAATCATGAAAATAGTTGTGAAATCCACCGATATCCGCGCTCTACCTGGTATTATCATAAACTAGAATATATTTTTAATTCATTTTTATTGAAATCAGTTGCCCCAAGCTGCCCCTGCAGTTTTGGTATCACTTTTTATTTCACTAAGCGCGGTTTACCGACAGAGCGTTGCACCGGCCGGCGGTGCAACTGAACGTGAAAGACTGACTTTTTCTTCATTCGCATTCGCTTTAAACTAAAATTTAAGCACTGTCTGTAATTAAAAAAAAATAAGCTCTAACACATTTACGCAATTTTATAATACCAGCAAATATTTTGGATCCGCCATATTGAATTTGATAAAACAAATGTAAAATTTGATTTCAGAAACCTAGTAAACTTTAACTAAGTTTGGTTAAAATCGTACATTTTTTTAATTTTTAGCAAAGTTTTTTAAAATCTAAACGGCCATTTTGGATCCGCCATTATGAATTTGACACAACCAATGTAAAATTTGAATTCAGAAGCCCAAAAAACATGGATATACCAATTTTGATTGAAATCGTATCATTTTTCGATTTTCAGCAAAGTTTTTTAAAATCTAAACGGCCATTTTGGATCCGCCATTTTGAATTTGACACAACCAATGTAAAATTTGAATTCAGAAGCCCAAAAAACATGGGTATACCAATTTTGGTTGAAATCGTATCATTTTTCGATTTTCAGCAAAGTTTTTTAAAATCTAAACGGCCATTTTGGATCCGCCATTTTGAATTTGACACAACCAATGTAAAATTTGAATTCAGAAGCCCAAAAAACATGGGTATACCAATTTTGGTTGAAATCGTATCATTTTTCGATTTTCAGCAAAGTTTTTTAAAATCTAAACGGCCATTTTGGATCCGCCATTTTGAATTTGACACAACCAATGTAAAATTTGAATTCAGAAGCCCAAAAAACATGGGTATACCAATTTTGGTTGAAATCATATCATTTTTCGATTTTTGGCCAGGTTTTTCGAGAAATCGGCCACTGTGCAGACGTACGAATGGGAAAGTTTGCCCCCACTACCTCAGGACGAGTGGTTATATAGACGCGCATTCGACTTTCTTTTAGCACAACTGACATGAGTCCTATTCAGAGAAAAACAGACAAGTCCCACTCATCAGGAAGAAGAGTTTTACTTTTCAAGAAATAAAATTTTACTCTATAGAAACTTACTACAGATTTTACTATAGATATACTCCCTGAATAATATATTTGAACGTAAAGGTTATTTAGTTCTAAATAATCTAATAATTTACAAACGTTACAAAAATAAAAAAATTATTTCAGCCTCAAAATATTAAATCAATTTCATTTTTAAAAGATCTAACTAACAATTATTTCGAAAATCTTGAGATCAGGTTCAAGGAATATTTCGTGAGGATCACCCCTATATAACTATTCCCATATTTTTGTTTTCTTTTTCTTAATTAATTGTAATATTTAAAAATTAAACTAAGAATCTATATTCTCAATAATTTTCATTTGATGTCATTACGTTCAAACGATTTTTGCTACAGTCAAAAAATTTTATTTTCATTAAAATTAACTTAAAAATTTTTTTTAGGAAATTAGGACATTATAATTTTAAATTTTTACAAAAACACAATTCAAACAATGTTTTTCATAAAATTAACTATGTATTTACTGTTTGAGAAAATTTTGAAAATTGAGGCAAAATATTTTATTTTTACTGTCAAAAAAATTACCAGGTAATAATATTGATATTCATTAGTTTTTTTTTATCTCTGAATTCATAACAGAAGGTGACAGCAAATATCACTTAATGGGATAAAATAAACCTACCTACTATACGACAAAACTGCATAAATCGATAAATTCTCTAATTAATTAATCAAGAATAAGACTTAAAATAAAAAAAACAATAATTTGTATTGAATTATATTTTCATTTATTTTATCTTTTGCATCAGGGTGTAATTAAAATTTTCTATTTGTTAAATTTCTCGAAATTAAAAAGAGGTTTTATTTAATTAAAGTTTTCAATTCACTAAATTGAAATCAGTAAAAGAGTATAACAGACGTATATTGACATCATTTTATATATATATATATATGTTAAAACTGAAAATAATATAAAAATAATTGAAAGAACGAATATGTAAGTGTACATTTTCCTATATAATTATTAATATTTTAGTACATATTTACATACACTATATATGAAGATTATAAATTTATAACATTTCCTGTTCCGTTCCATTAAAAAGTTTCCTCAGATCAATTTTTTAAAAATTGGATTACATGTGAAAAAAATATTAGATTCAGAAAGAGAGAAAGATTTCAACTTTTAAATTGAAAGTGCTAAAGGGAATTCGATAATTGGACTTTTAGACTTAACTTTGAGTATAGGTGTATATGACATTGAAAAAAATATTTTTTTTCAATATAGAGAGTATTTTTTTTCTCAAAGAAGGACTTTATGTGCAAAATTTCTGTTCCGACAATAAAACTTTTTATCTTGTTAAATTTATTTAAACATTTTATTTTTTCTTCTTTTGGTACAAAGAAATTTTTTATTTAAACCAAAGTATAATGTATTTGAATTGTATAAATAAAAGAAAAATTTGTTTCAGTACTAAAAACAATATTTATTTGTATCAAATGAAATATTACTAGAAAATGGAAAAATAATAATATAATGACAGGTTCATTACGTCCTGTCGCCGTCAGATGGCAGAAGCATGCAGGGAGCAGTTGTATCAGATTTTTCACATAAATATTTCAGATTGTACCGGACTCATTTTAAATTCATTTTTTTTTTTGACATTTCATTAGAAAAACAAAATCCAAATTATTCTGAACTAATTTTAAATTAATTTTTTTTTTTTTTTAATCGAATTAAATTCAGATTGTTGCGTACTCAATGCAGATTGATTTTACGTCAATTCCGCACTAATCTTGGATTTGTCTTTTCGTCCTGACTGATTGATAACTAATACAGCTGTAATTTACGAATTGTTTTCGTATAATTCGAGGTATAATTTCTTGACTAATCCGAACTGATCTGTCGGGATTTAATGTGAAATCAATCAGAAATTTTAATCACGGTTCTTTAAATGACATTTTTATCTAAACTAATCTAAACATTAGGTGTATAAGGATTTTTTCGGGGCGCTGAATTCGAATTTGACCTTTAAATTCCAAATGGCGGACATAATTTTTAATATTTTAACGGATTTTAATAAAACTTGATGTAAGGGGGTTTTTGATGTTGCTGAATTCGAATTTGACCTTCAAATTAAGAAATTCAAAATGGCGGACATAATTTTAACGGATTTTAATGAAACTTGGTATAAGGGGATTTTCTAGGGTGCTGAATTCGAATTTGACCTTAAAATTAAAATTTCAGTTCAGCGACCCCAAAAACTCTTATATTACTTTGTTTCATAAATAATTTGTTGACCAGAATTTGTTGGACATTTTGGGACAACAATATCAATTTTTTCTCTAACAGTAAATGGATTAATAAGTGAAAATTTTTAATCACAGTTTTTATAGTAAAACTATAAGGACCTTAGTATATAAATTATGGTGAATTTACAATATAGAGATGTATCTTGAAATTAATGTATCTCTCCGGTAAGATGTATTTGTTAATTTTAGATCCTCGTTTTAACACGTGCGGACAATAATCCCTTTAATTCAGATAGGGTAGGAAGATATGAGAGAGCAGTGAGAGGATGTTCCCTTCTTTACGACAAATGATTTTGCAATTTCTGATTCATACCTATATGGTAGTATCAACCAACAAGCAATTTCATTCGGATTATCGGCTTCTATATATCTGGTCCAGCGATCACTCTCCCAACGTCCAATAAATTATAACCTCTCACTCTCTAACGATAATCTAAATTCCAACGTACACCTTTCATTTTATGCGTTTATTTTGATATATATATATATATATAATGATTATTGCACAATAATTTCTAATTACTCTAATTAGATTCTGAGGACAAATAAACTCTCTATTAATTCAATTATCATATACATAAAATATTCCATTATACAATTCTAGATTAATTCTGACATAAAAATTATATTTAACAACAGTTTTATTCTTTTTTTCTTTCTTTTAAATTATTATTTGAATAATTTAAAATTATTTTGTTCCTTTTGCGAATGACAGAAAAAGTATATTATATATATATAAGAGCATTAATTTAATACGATATCATTGTTCAATAATTATTATATAATTGATTTCATTGAGAGAAATATAGAAGAGAGAATATCATAAAGTTAAAGAAATAAAAAAAATATAAAACGACAAGCTTTAATTTTATTTTCTAC